AAGAGATATTGCCGATAAATAGTCAGGGACGACTATGAAGGTTGTGGTTTAGGACCAAACGATGACGGATCTCGAGAACAAGGATTGGCGGGTATGCATGAAGTCCTACCTTAAAGGTCAGGGCTTTTGGGAAGTTGTCGACGGTAGTGAATGTTGAAAGGGACGTGTGTTAGGTGTTAAAAGTGACGTGTGTTAGGCACTGATTTTTTGGCAGAGTTAGGAAGAGTTTGAAAAAAAGGATGGCGGGCCCCGCCACAGAAAAAATAATATAAAATTAGTGCATAGTATTTTTTTCAGCCACTATAAATAGGCCCAAAACTCTTCAGAAAAAAATCATCCTAGAAACAACTCCTCATATAGAAGAGTGAAAATATAGAGAGAGCTTGTGAGAATTCTTGGAGAGAATCTTAATCAAGAGAGGGTTTTCTCTTTGATCTTTTCTTTGTAACGTCGGAAAGTAATATAAAGGAATTGGGCGTCGTCGTTGCACCGTGGAGTACCTCCGTAAGAGTGAACCACGTTATATCTGTGAGTATTGTGATTAAATTTGTGTATGTTGATTTTGTTCTGTGATTCTACGTTCGTTTGGGTGTATATTGCTTCTCTGTGCGAGGCGTTCTTGTTGGCGTGTATCTAACAACTGGTATCAGAGCCTGACTTAGAGTACATATATCTGCTTATCATATGCTATGTGGCTGCCACTAAAAGTAGATCCCCTGCATCAGAAAATAAGTTAGATTATCATTTACTCTTTAAAGGCACTATGCACTATTCACGAGTACGGTACTATTCATAAATACTATTACTATTCACCAATAGGTTCGAAAAAAGACAGAATCTTTCACCATAGGATCTACAGTTAAAGACAATAGGCTTTGGATTGAGAAGTTTAGCCACCAAAATTTTAGATATTGGAGGATGTAGATATAAGACTATTTGTACCAGAAAGATCTCTTCCTACCCCTCCAAGGAGTGGAGGGGAAACTTGAGAAGATGGACGGCGACAAGTGGAAGGTGTTCGATCATAAAACACTTGTCATCATCAGGTTCAACCCTTACCAGCGTGTGACTTACAACGTCTCGTATGCAACCACCACCAAGGAGTTGATGTAGGCCTTGAAGGCGCTGTATGAGAAGTCGTCTGCTTCAAATAAGGTGTACCTGAGGAAGAAGCTATTCAATCTAAAGATGCAATAAGCAGCTCGCGTGGCAGACTTCTTGAATGAATTTTAAGCTGTTGTGCAATAGCTTGCTGCAGTGGATCTTAAGTTCGATAATGAGATCCAAGCTCTTCTGCTACTTTCTTGTCTACCAGAATTGTGGGAGAATTTGGTGATGGCGGTGAGCAACACCAATGGTATTGACAAGATGAAGCTCGTGTTGGACCCTAGAGGGGGTGATTAGGGTCACAAGGCTATAATTGTGTAATAAAATTAAGACAAACAAAACACAATATCCAAAGGCAATCAAAATAGAGGAGATAGAGTTAGGAATCGTTATCCTGTGACGCGCGATGTGTTAACGAGGTTCGGTCCGCTGACCTACGTCCCCGCTCCCCACTCTCGAGGAGAAATCCACTACACAACTCGGTTTGGAAGCCGGAACTTCTTCTACACAGTGATCCCCTCACGATCTCACACTACACAGTTGATCTCACTAGATCACACTCCCACACAATTGATCTCTACAAGATCAAGCTCTCAAAATAGTAGAAATGGTGTAAAAACCCTCTCTTTACAATGTCCCTATGGCAAAGAGAAGATCACACTGAAGCTGGGATGTGAAACACAAAAACTCAGAAAGAAACAGGTTTGAAAATTGAGCTCTGTAAAAAAACGTTTTCAGAAATATTTTGAAAGAGCTGGGACAATGAGGAAGAAGAAGAGAATAGGTTTAAATAGAAAATCACATTGAAAGAGCTGGGACAATGAGGAAGAAGAAGAGAATAGGTTTAAATAGAAAATCACAGCTGTTTGAAACCCATACCCAATCCCCCA